AAAGGAATGTTTCAAAACATCTTATCACGATATTCTAGATGTGATTGTACAATCCATTTCTGTAATAGTTTTTTCTGGGATTGTGAGAGTGCAGACACAACTTCTACTCCTTTCCTTTCTTAATGATCTATGATGTTTTTACACTTTACATTTCTGTGAGTATCACTTTTAAACCACGAATCTCCATCATATGAGCGATCCCGAGCAGGTTAGTCGCGGGGCTACGTGGCGCGTCTCCAGGTGGTGGATAGGGGGTTAACCGCGGACCAAAAGCGACCTTTGTTTTTCTGAGACGCAGGTGGAGCCAGGGGATGGACTCACTGATTTTGCTATGCCTATTTGGCGCATACTTTCTGTATTTGCTAGGCGTATTCATGAATGCGTATGTGGGTGCGTTCCTGCTTATGCGGATTGTATTCTACGAGTCAATTCGGCCAGAAGTCTGCAATCAAGTGACGGGGAAGTATATGGGAGGCGGTTAGGAGTCGCCTCCAACAAATGAGCTCCATGTCCGCTCTGGGAGAGCCTGGCAAACTACCGTGAGTATACCCAGTCCTCACGTTCAGAGCCCAGCAAGCTATACGTGGGTATCAAAAATGCTAAGCACAGTAAAAAAAAAGCGGGCCTCATTTCGCTGACCACGAAAGAGCCCCCAATTTAGCAGCGTTGGGTAGGACGGGTACGGAAACGCTGCTAAAATCTCAGGGCCAATGGGAGTTGCCTGGATTTCAAAGAACTATGGTGAAGATCTGTACCTACAATGCACGTACACTTGCATCCGAGTCCTCGATAGAATGCTTGCTCATGCAAGCAAAAGGGTTAAAGTACAACGTCATCGGCCTGGCCGAGACATCTGTAGCTCCAAGTGTATCTTCCGCTTGAACTGCAAAGACGATATAAGTCTTTGTGAAAGACTAAAATACGAGCTTGTTTGAATTATTTCTGGGCTCCACTCGAGAAGAAGTGCGGTTCCAGCAGTCTGCACGAGATGTTAAGAATGCCCGCCATATTTGAAACACAAGCAGCAGTGGAATGTTAGTTATAATTCACAGAAACTCTTCCACTTTTTCGTCTATTTCGTTCCTTGCTGTCTTTTTAAATCGTGTTAAATTATCTGTGATCTTAGAAAACAAACTTCTATGCAATATTCCTATGCTTATCTGCGTGATATCTTAAAGAATTTCAAAGGCCGCGGGAATCGCTGATCGTCCTTTCATTCCCACAATGAAATTGACGCTTCTAATGTTTTCCTTCCTCCCAACGGTTTACCGTCTCATCGTGACTGGGAGTTGTTTCTGGGTGTCAGATTGCGACGTACAGCGGGGGTATTCACAAGGTATCCCAAGCTGAGAAGGAGTTCGGCATTTCCATCAGGATGCCTAGGTTAGAATAAACCATTACCAGGATCTACCACCGTCCTGGTATGAAACTAGTAGTATGGTGGGAAATCATCCTCTGATCAACAAGGGCTACGACTGCCTGTGGTGTAACGATCTGGGACAGACTTTGGCTTGGCTGATCTCGGGACTTCATAGAACCACAATTGCTTAACCAACAAAACTCCGAAAGAGTGGAGATTGTGCTGTTACCTGCACAGTCAGTGAGGGCTGGCCATCCAAATATCCATGTATCCAAGATGTTTTCCTTTGTGGTTCGGGTTTATCAATGTGTGCTTTCCTTTCATGCGAAACACCTATATGTGAAATCGCAAAAAATAAGAAAAAGACCTTACCGTTCACCATTGAAAGTTTTTCATCCAAGCCGATTATCCTTCTACATTTCTGCAGTCATTTTCTTCGTTTTTTCTAGTTTTAGAACTCCTGGTTATTCTTTGTCGTATTTAACTTGTAAAACCATGTCAAATGTCCTTATAACTTTGCTTTTTTTCATCTCAAGTACAATTGATGGTTTGAAAATGACCTCAGGAGTGTAAATATCAGTCAACGTCAATTCTTCCAATGTTCGTGCTGATTTGTATTGTTCGAAGATGTTTTTGAAAGAGCATCACAATCCTAACCATTCGTAAATCCAGAGATCCATTACGGTGACATCAATAACGGCAGACATATAAGCCAACAACTCCATCGCTTTCCATACCTCTAGATAACTCGGTTATTGGTCTGTGTCAACGGACTTTCTTGTTTATTCACTTTCTTTCTTTCTTTCTCACCTTTTTTCTTCCATTTTTTGCCTGTTTTTTTTTCAAAAAGAACAGCTGAACACTGGTTGAAATGCTTTTTCAGATGTCGAAGTTAAAGGTGTCTGTTGATTGTCATGAAAATCAAAGAGAACATTCTTGAAGTCATTTATAGTGTTCCAGATACCTGTAAACAGCGACGCATCACTTTCGACTTTATTATGTTGTTAAATTTTTATTTATGCCTGCTATTTTCTTCATGACAAAGTATTATGTGAAGTGCAAACATGGTGACGTGAGATATTTGCAAAACTAGAACCGCAAGCCAGCTTCGAATCCGCGTTTACCCTCTCCGGGAGTTCACATGTTATCCACTGCACCATTGGGACCCTTGATTTGCCTTTCTCTCAGCCAGTTTTTACCCTAACGGCGCCGCCAGCGATAACCCGTCACCGGAAATGATCTGTTGAGCAGAAATTGGTATTTAACCCTGTTAAGATGAAGTTGCGCTCGAAATCACTAAAAAAATTTAGTTGATCGTGATTTATGATTTTTGTGATTGGTGATTTATGATTTGTTTTCTTCTTTCCTTATGAATTGTGATTTCGACTATAGCCTCAGCTTAACTGAGTTCAATGCCGATTGGTGCTCCAAAGATCATTTCTGTTGATGGGTGATTGCTGGAAAGCAGAGGCCTCGGTGGTGCAGAGAGTAGTACGAGGGCCCCCGGAAGGGGTAATCACGGGTTCCAAGCTGGTCTCAAGTCTGAGTTTTGAAAATGTCTCATCATCGTCGTGGTTGTAATTTTATCGTATTATGTCACTTTGATACTAAATGCTTCTGCTGGATTATCTGGTTTTAAGAATGAAGAGCTTATATTTGAAAAATCATCGTATTCTATTATGATGTGAATTCCTTTTTTTTCGTTTTTTTTTTTCTGGAATCAATACTTGTCCGGTTATTCTTGCCCCAACTCTTAGGAATCAGAGTAATGATGAACATCAACTGGAAGAGAAAACTTTCGTCTATTATTTCCTTTCTGCTTAAGTTGTTTGTTAAAAGTTTATTACACAGTTTTGTGTCACCTCCCACTAATCATTAAGTAACTCGTGTGAGCATCAGTGAACTCTATTTATCCCTCTTACCCTCCAATGTTTCGCAAAAAAAAAGGACGGAGAACTATTTTTCTGAGGACGAATCATTTACTCTCTGTGGCAGTTCGGCACCCGCGAACGCCCTTCAACCACGAGTTGGACGATATACCGTTAAGAGGATAAGGTCGGTAATAGGGAAATTCGATTTGACGAAGGCGAGATGATGGGAATTGGATATGGCGGATGCAAGATAGCCTGGTCGCTGAGTGAATTTGAAACTAAACTGTGTAATGTTGACCGTCTCACTTGAAGCGGTAATTAGTGCTCCCAATTTCCTACGCGTAACGAAAAACTACAGAGTTTGAGACGAATTTCAATGCAATACAAAACATATAGATAGTACAAATCTTTTCTGTTTACGTTTTTACATGAGCCGTCATCACATCTACTGTGCCAGTCCCAGCACTCGCGTTCTGTTCGTTTTCCTCGTATTCATCGTACACAATGGTCTTCGAACATTTCGCGTGTTGTTTCGACTGCTACGTGAATATATGGGTTTTTTCTTATGATTGTCGTAAAAGGCTCGTCCAATCAGTTCTTCTTGCAATCCTCGTGATAGCGAGGCTAAGGCGTTCCCACGCAGATTGGAGAAGAGTGTTGAAGAGGAGGGAGGAGGGAACGAACTAGCGCCTTTGCTTCCTGATCGATAGTATAACTAACCACTGCGCTATCCCAGCCGGTTAGATAAATTAAGAGTAGAACAGTAATGCTAGACGGTCATTAAAAAGCATCGACAACAATTGAAAATCGGTGAAAAAGTGCGTGCTAAGAGCTTCTAAACAGTGCAGATTTTTAGTCTTATAAATTTTCCCTTCCTATTAATTTAATCGTTCAGGAATCAACTTTAATGTTAAATGAAAGACCCTGACAGGAAGGATGCTTGTAATATATGCATTAGAGCTTTCTATGTTTATCGTTTTAATGAAAAATGCACAAGATTTAGCCAAATGCCATGAAAAGAGTGATCATAGGTGTTTTTTAATTTCCTATTTATTAAGAAAACAACTCACACGTTTTACTAGTTATTGCTGCATACTGTAGTAACGGTACTAAAGGGCGCGTGTGGCGCAGTGATCGGAGGCGTCCTGTGATACATACATGGGATCGATTCCCGCGCCTCTGGGTCATGAAGCCTTCTATGACTCCGAGTTCGGCAAATTGCTACCAGACTTGTCTGGGAGATAGCGGCACTGGCTCGCCACATCGGCTGGCCACCGCGAGTCATTGTAACGGCCAGATATGCATTCATTCACCTCCAAGGATGCTTAGTGAAGTCGAATGCATGGCGCATCCCTCAGGGATTCATCAACGCCGAGAACTTTATCCTTTTATCCTTTTATTGTAGTATCTTGTAACATAAGTAACCCATTTATCCAGAAAAATGTAGTCCTGTCTGTAGTATTCGAAATCTCTTTTATCTCTTGCACGTTTTCCCTTTTTCTTCGAGTTTTTTTCTTCCCGAAGCAGTTGTTTTTTGCTTGCAAGTTCATGCTTTTCGTGAATTATCTGCTAAGAGTGAAAGTGGTTGACAGTTCAACGTTGTTCCATATTTGGTTCTTCTTTTTGGTTATCCTTCGTAATTTTGCCAGCAAAAATAAAAATTGGGGTTAGACGAATACATTTATTATAGCGCATTTTTCATTTAGGCAATTGTGTCGTCATCTTGCAAGTACATTGGTGTGTGCGAGACGATTTGTCTGCATATGTCGATGTGGATACTGTACGGATGTTTCATTGCGACGTTCTTCTATCTGCTTACGGTCACGAATATTTTCGAGACGAATAAAAGTATTTCTGAACTTATCAAGAAGAAACCAGCTACAGAATACCCACAGGGTTTCCACGTCTCATCGAGGCCACTTCAAAATCGAAGTATGTTCTATGCCATCGGTATCAGCGTAAAAAATTCCTTGTCGCTGACGAATATGTTTTATCACTGAATCCAGAATGTTGACAAATTCTAACCTTTAATCATTGCTTCCACTTCGTGGGTTGTTGTTTTTTTTACAAATATGTGAGCTATATGTTGCTGTATGATTGGGTACCAGTGGTATACCCAAACGCAGCTGTTCACTGCAATTGTTAGGAAAGCATGCTTATCTATGTTATGTAGGCACATGTTATTCTTGCCTGTGTGGAAGACGTATGACTAGGCTTGGGTCCCTGGCAACCCACTACACGAATGAGCTAAGAATTTATGAGGTACCGATTGACTCCATGTTAATAAACCTCTTTTAAACCTTACGAAAAGTGAAATTTACTAGGGATTTATCTCTCGTCGAATAAAAGTTGTGGTGACAACCTAGAAACCAAGACGATGAGCAATGTTAGCTATATATCAGCTTATTGAGACTAGGATTACTTCTCTCTCATTATCCAGGCTAAGTAAAGTGAGTTGTTCCTCAGAACTGTTGTAGCAAGAATTGCAAGATCACCATTATTTTATCCAGCATTATTTCTTATTATAGGTGACAAGTGACCGCCATCATTGTTTTTTACTATTGATCTCTGCGATCATCTAACTGATACGAACTTCTGATTAGTGTCCAAAAAACACTGAAAGCGAAAGTGTGACGAGAGTTTATGATTATCCGTTTTGCAACAATTTCTTGTGCTCTCATTTGTTGGTTCTAGTAGTGGATGAGAAGACGTCGCTTCAAGGTCACTGTCACTGGGACAACACCACATGTTTAGGCGCTGGAAAGCTTTGTAGTTTCTGAAAACGTCTGACCAAGTGAATCGCTGTTTGGAGCAAATGGCAAGAAATGAGAAATTCTTAAAATTCTTAAGTTTCTAAGATTCTAGGAAAACATATATTGGTCGATGTTGGTTTTACGATAATTACTCGTTAATTTTCATAAAACTTATATAGCACTTGAGAAGTTAAGAACTTGGTAGATTTATAAAACAGATATGGTTAAAATTCCGTCTCTATAGGGGAAGAGGATGCTAAATCTTACAACCGGGGATCTCTAGATTTTAGCGGCGTATATTCACGTTGATGAAGTATGATATAAGCTGAGGTATACTTTTCTAAAGATGAAGAACGAAATTATTTTTTAACGATTGCGCAGTGAAATCAATGCACGTCTATCATCGTAAGCGAAACCGTTTTCTTTATTAGCCATTTATTGCTAGCAAAATGAAGCTGTAGTACATATTTATGGAAGAAATCACTGAGCTTAATTAATATCCTGTCAATTGTTTTATATAAGGGTCCGCATTTGCACCCACCAGCAGAGAAATTCTCTAGTTTTTGGAAAGCTCAGAGATCTAAACGGGAGAGCGGTATGATAATTCTGCGAAGTTGTAGTTAAATATAGGGACTATCTTCGAATTATTGGGTATTTTCCTGTTTGTTCCTAGTCGGTTTTTTAAATAGAGTAAAAAATCGTCCTTTAAAGAAGTAAATAAAACGTGGTTTTGCTAAGGACCCTTTACATGAGGGAGTGCTGTGAATATTCCGTTTCTTTCTGCATAATTGAAATTTTTGATGATGTCCAAGTGCTGGCATCACAACTAAAGAAGATCAGAAGCGTTTGGTGATTTAACTCAAATGAATTCCGATTTTCTGAAGGAATTTTCTTACCTCAAATAAATTTTAATTTTCTAAGAAAATTCGAAAATTTGAAGATTTTTTCTTTCTCTAATTGTTCATTCTCTTTCACCAAGCCGCTTTTCAGTGAGATAAAATGCTAATCTTTTGTACTTGAAGAATATGACAGAGTTTCATGAACATGGAGTTAGAATAATCACCACAGTTGTCGCTAGAAAAGTCATAAGAATGCCTTAGGATTTTTCTCAGCTTTGGGATTGTTTTGCTCATCCATACGCTATCGTATCAACTTCAACAACGATTATAGCCGCACCTATATCATCCGATAGTAATGCGGGACAACCGACACCGCTTTCCCATAGTACTGTACCAATTACCGATCATCTTCTTCCCACCTCTTTTCATTCGTTTCATGCAAGTGCCTGTGTCAAAGTCGACTTGGTGTTACTTATAGAGAAGCGGAGCTCAAAAGTTTTCGTAAACTCTCCGGACTCCATGATCTGGTCGACTGTGGGTGTATCTTGACTTTCTAAGCAACGCTTGATGACTTTTTTAAAATTATATCGTTAGTTAATTCAGTGCAAAAGACTTAGTGTTACGATTTCGGGGTCGATTCAGCAGTCTGTCAGAGGCAGACTGATCGCTTAGACACTTAGACTGCACTTCTTAGTAAATAGTGTGGCATTCAAAAAATCTCACTTGAATACCACTTCCTAGTTAAACCAGTTTTTCGCCTTGAACTCTAAAGTTAGATCTGCCTTGATGACTACCACACCCCGTTGCTGACCTTAGTGGATCGGAGGCTTTGCGATGTAGTTTTTTCCAGGATGGTTTTCGATTGCTGGAAAAAGTTTAGTGTTCTAGACAGTTTAATGAGATTATCGGTTATTTCGACTCAATTTCAGTGGTTGAATGAGCTTGTTGCTAACGAATTTCTTGTTGCACATCAATCTTCCTCTCTAGGAACACTACCTTGTTAAAGATGGGTGACATTCAAGTGAAGAGACTGTAGGAGCAAGCAGTCTTATGACAACGGAGCAATAGTTCGGAATTATAAATGAAAACTGGATAAATAATGCAAATCTATCTCGCTTGATTTTATGTAGAGAGACAAAAAGTTTTTTGTTGAAAATGTATAGATAAGCTTCTCCATCACAGCTTTATTATTGTTGTTGTTACTATTAGTAATTATTAATCATAACTAGACATCACATGTGTCACGTTGTACCGATCCTAGGACCTTTTTCATTTTATTCGTTTCCTCGCACTTTCCATTAGTGACGATCTGTGAACTCTTTCTTCGTGTGGGTTCACCTCTTGCTTAAAGATTTTTTTCCCTTAGTCACGAATGTTGTTAAATGCTGGTCGAGTCATTTTCCCCTGATATCCTAAAATTCCACGATGTTCCGGCGTGGATTGGAGAGAGTCCGCTTGTTTCAGACGAGTCTCATAGTAATTTCGCAATCCCAGAAGAATTTGTACAGTATGTGATAAAGAGTTACGTAGAAGAAAATTTAGAGCAACCCTTCCGAAAGTTATCGATACGTTTTTAGCAAATTTTTCGTCTCTTTCCAAAAATTCTGATATAGATACACCTTAAATCCTTAGCACTTCGGCAAAACGTTCGCTACCGGGTTCGCTCTTCTATACAGCGCCCGCTGTTGATCAACTGTCATCCAGTGTCACATGCAGGTCTACTTTCATGGTGATGGCGTAGGTTGGGTAGCGCAATGGTTAGTGATGCAGTCCATGAGAAAAAAAGGTGCCGGTTCGACCCCCTACCAACGTCCTCGTCCAATCCATGTGGGAACGCCTTCGCTCCGCTTAGATCTCTATGAAGAATCAACTAAACTAGCGTTCCACGACAGTGATAAAGAAGAGGAAATCGTCAAGCAGCAGCCGAAACAACACGCGGAATGTTTGAAGATCTTCGTGGACGACGAATCCGAGGAAAACGAATCGAGTGCAAGAGTACTGGGATCGGCACAGTAGATGTTATGATTGGTCGGGTGGTGTAGCAATTATTGTAAAAATATTATTAAGACAAACTAATTGTAAATGATGTTTTATAAAGAATAATTCCTTTTGTTTTCGTATAACTGTCGTTCAAAATATTGTTGTTACGTTTTCATCAAGCATTTTATTTTTGAGTCAACTTGGTTATATTTTTGAAAAAGATATTAACATTACTTTTAGCTACTTAGAATTTAAGTGTTTCTTCCAAAATTTTTTGAATGAATTTTTAAAAAAACATGGTAATTGAGCTGGTTATTTTCAGACGTCGTCGAAGCGGTACTATCGTCATCGACGCAGGACGTATTTGACACATGTCCTTTTGTGTCTCCCGATCCTTGGGATCCAGAAATTATTAATTACATTGATGTGAAATACGGTTTTTTCGATGTAAGTACAAAGTTTTTTTTTGTCTTCATAGCATCATGAAGATCTTATTATAGAGGTATTTCCTGAAATATGTGGCAACAAAAAGAAGCATGCAACGCAGCACTTAAATGTCACATACACCCATCTTCCTTAATTGGATCCCTTGTCCCGGAGCAACCAAGCCATTCATCCTTCCAACTTCGGTAGACAAATTGGTGCCAGACTTATCTGGGACGATAAAAGACTTTAGTAGGCTTCCTAAGGTCCTCGTATAGGCCAGACTTGTTAACTGCTAGGAGTAGCTCCGAATGCATGACGCATCTCTTTGAGATTGATTGGCACCGTATGCTTTATACATTTTATGTGTGGCACTTAATTAATGATTATTTATAGTCCGAATGCTTAACCTGTTCTAAAACATTCCGTTTCCTTTCGCTGTTACGAAGTTAAGCAATTGGGGTGCATAAAAAGAAAGGAAAGAAGGTACAAAAAGGAACGGGGATAAAGGAGGTAACAAATGAAGAAATTTGAGATTGTTTAAAGTCATATGTTGGCAAGAATAATTATATTGGTTTTGTAACGGTTTATCCCTAACCTTTTTTTCTACACTACAAAATTTTTAAGCCTTTGGCAAACTGATGTACTACTATTTGTAAAACTTTAGGATCGCAGGTGTTTGCGGTGGGGAACGATCGCGCTATTACCCTTTCTTGGGACTAACGAGTTCACCACCACACCATGTGGATTCTTCGTTTCGCCTGTCTCTCAGCTAGTTTGTATCAATAAGCGCCATCAGCAACCACCCGTCAATGGGATAGATATGGAGAGCCCACATCGGCATTGAACCCAATTAAGCCGAGGCTGTGTTTAAAATCACAATGTTTTCTTATTTGCTGCCTACTACAATTTTTTACGGCAGGGTATTCCCGGGAAAGGTAATAGCGCGATCGCTAACCAGCGCAGACACCTGCGGCCCCGGAGTTTTGCAAATGCAAAAACATTTCAAAGTTTTTTTTTAAAATGTACTTCACTATTGATAACTCGCCCAGCAAGCGCGTGTTTAACTTTATGCCCTATCGCCTTCACTGTTTTTTGCATACTCTTTCTCTCCCTGCGTTCAAGATTCATTATTCAAATAATCGCAAAAATTTAACAACTCAAATCTGCATGCGGAAGTTGTAGTGGTTTCAAAAGGTTATTAGAACGTAAATGGTATAAAATACTGTGAGGATTTTGTCAAAATTAGTTGGAACGTTGTTTGACTACACAAGGTGCGGAAATTGAAGAAGATTGTCTCTGCTTGTAAGCTAGCTTTTACTAGGCTTGAAAACTCACTTTCATTGAACCTAGGATAAGAATTGTTAGGGTTTAATCAATACTTTTTAGATTACTTAGCTGCAACGAGGTTGATACAATAAACGAGAGAAACTTGGAGATCTGTTCTAAGTAATGGTAGGAGAAATAAGGAGAAATAACACAACGTTTTGCAAATCGCTGACTTTCTTTGTTTGTTTAGCGCAGTGCAATCGAGCGCTTATCGTGGGAACGCGGCTTTTGCTGACGATCGACCTTTCTCGTTAAGTCGACTGAATGCCTCTCATTCTTGATCCAGGGATCAACTGTACTGAAGAAACACCGCTTTCAGTTGACTGTATTACTCAGTTCTTCATTGTTTTCGTCGACTTCGACGTTATTACGTTCTGGACGATAACGCAGTGCTTTTTATCTATTAACTATAATCAGTCGTCGCCTATAGCACGGATCGCAGCACTTATTACCGAGGGCTTATGTGTTATCCACCATACCTACCCTTGTTATGCCTTTCAGTCGACCACTTTTTTATCTTATCAGGACTATCAGCAATCACTTGTCAACGCGAATGATCCAAAGAGCACGAATCGCATTGAACCCAGCTAAGCTGAAACTGCAATTGGAGTCATAACGTTGAACTTTTGCTTACTGCCTGTTCTTTCGTCTAAGAGGCTAGTAGAAAGCTCATCTGAGGTTCGGACTTCTGCCCATGTCTCAGCACCCTTGCGGTTGTATTTCATGTGGTACTCTGCGATGCCACGGATCGCCCTCATATGAGGGATCTCGATCCGATTAGTCGCGAGAATAGGTGGCGCGTCCCCAGGTCGCGGATACTGGGTTAGCAGCGGACCAAAAGCGACCATTGCTTCCCTGAGACGCAGCTGGATCCAGGGGATGGGCTCGCTATTTCTGCTGCGCTCATTTGGCACATACTTTCTGTCTTCGCTAGGCGTATTCATGCATGCGTGTGTGAGTGCGTTCTTACTTATTTGGATTGTATTATGAGTCAATTCGGCCAAAAGCCTGCAATCAAGCGACTGGGAAGTATATGGCAGGCGGTTAGGAGTCGCCTCCAACAAATAATATTCATTTCCACTCTGAGAAAGCTTGGCAAGTTACCCGTAAGTATACCCAGCCCTGATGTTCGGAGCCTAGCAAGCTATACGCGGGTATCAAAAATACTAAACACAATTTAAAAAACGGGTCTCATTCCCCTGACCTCGAAGGAGCTCCAATTTCGATGCGTTGGGTAGGACGAGTACTGCTAAAATCTCAGGGCCAATGGAAGTTGCCTGGATTTCAAAGAACTATGGTGACGATCTGTATCTAAAATGCAGGTGCACTTGCATCCAAGTCCTCGATTGAAGACTTGCTCATGCAAGAAAGAAAGATAAACTACGACGTCATCGGCCTGGCCGATGCGAGAAGACGCCAACCTTTCAACGCCGTCTATGAAACCGGAGAAGAACTGTTCCTCGGAACACGCAAAAGTAGAGGGGTCGGTGGCGTCGGCGTTCTCGTGAACAAGAGTTTGTCCATGAATGTCTATTCATTCGAACAACTTACAACCCGAATTCTTCAAGGCCATCATTGGAGGCTTCAACACCAAGACCAAGAAGAACGTCTGGAGAACGTCACATTGAAACCCACGGATTGGAATGGAACGAATTGGATGATCGGTTCTCTGAGTTTATCATGACGACCTAGACCATCCATTGTAACTCGCAATTCCAGAAGCCCCACCTTCAACGCTGGACGTCGGAGTCCTTGGAGAGTATCATAATGAAATAGACCACAACATAGTAAACCGAAGGTTTTGCGTAATCGATGTCGCTGTTGCCCCAACCTTCTACACGGGATCAGTACGCTGCCTCCCTCGAGCTAGATTCCGTTTCTCGCAGAAAGGAGAAAAAGCCGCTAAATTCTAAAACCGAGGTCCCAAAACCACCGTAAAAGTTCGAAAGCCACCAAGAGACGTCTGTCTCCAGAAACACTCGAGCTGATACGCCAGCGTGGAATCACACGAGCTGCAGACAACAATGAACTAAATTCCGGATTTGCGAAACAATGCAGACAGACGATAAAAGAAGATATTAGAGAGAAAAAAGCAGCAGTAATGGCCAAAGCTGCAGAGGCTGGGAAAAGCACTCGCAAAACCCATCGAAGCTTCGCCAATTACAAGAACAAAATGATTGCACTCCGGCGCCCAGACGGAACACTAGCTCGGCTCTTCACACGTTACCTGTCTGAATGTAAGGTCCCTACTAAGTGGAAGACCAGCAAGACTATGTTATTGTTCAAGAAGGGTGACCTGCACGATATCTGCAACTATCGCCCAATCTGCTCACTCTCTGTCGTCTACAAACTTTTCACTCGAGTCATCTTAAGTAGGATTGACAGAACATTGAACAAAGGACAGCCATGTGAGCAAGCAGGGTTTTGAAAAGGATTAAGTACGATGGACCACATCTGCACGATAACACGGGTCATTGAAGTAACGCGAGAGTACGACACACCGCTCTGTCTCACTTTCATCGATTTACAGAAGGACTTTGATTCAGTTGAGATAGAAGCAGTCTTGGAAGCCCTTGGTAGTCAAGGAGTCCCTACTCAGTACATAAAGATTCTTCGTGAGCTGTACAAAAATTTCAAAGACAAGATATCACCATTCTACAACGATATTAACATTGACGTCAAAAGAGGAGTTAGGCAAGGCGTTACCATCTCGCCAAAATTATTTACCGCCACCCTCCAGAACGTCATGCGAACATTGGAATGAGATAATATGAGAGTGAAAATCGATGGTCGGCAGTTACACCATCTTCGCTTTGCTGATAACATCGTTCTTATAACACCAAGCATTAGGCGAGCGGAACGTATGCTTGACGGCTTTGATAAAGCCTGTGGAAAGATTGGTCTTCGACTAAATCTAACTAAGACGATGTTCAAGAAGAACGGATTGGTTTCGCATGCCCATTCACGCTCAACGGAACGATTATCTCCGAATGCTCCAGTTATATCTATCTAGGTCGGGAAATCAATATAATGAACGACCTAGCTCCAGAGCTGAGCAGAAGAAAACGAGCGGCTTGAAGAGCTTTCAAGAGCATCGAGGATGTAGTGAAGAGAACAAAGAACACCCGACTCCGTGCCCACCTTTTCGACTCAACGGTGCTTTCTGCCCTAACGTATGCGCCAGAAACCTGGCTGCTGCGTAAGCAGGATGAAAGCTCACTCAGCGTTATCGAACTCGCAGTCGAAAGGACGATGCTAGGATTATCCCGTTCCACACAAGTAAGGGATGGGATCCGATGCTCCGATCTGCGTCAACGATCAGAAATCAAAGGTGCCGTTCTGTACGCCAAGCAGTCGAAGTTAAGGTGGGTGAACAGGTAATGCGTATGAGTGACAACCAATGGACAAGAGCCGTTAATGACTGGATTCCTCGGGGTGTTAAACATACTGAAGGAACACCATCGACCTGATTTTCAGAGTTTTTCACAAAGAGCCTTAAGGAAAGATATGATGCTCGACGAGTCCCTAGAGCGAGCAGAAGCCACTGGGTTACTTTTGAACGCGACAGGTAAAAATGGAAGACTTACTGGCGCCCACTCGAGTTACTCGACGATCAACGGGACTACAGGTGATACAGGTGTCAGGTGACACTGCAATAAAAGCAGAACAAAAACCGAGGGAGATTGGAACATAGTGATTTCCTCACTCGTTTTCCAATCCAATTGAATGAATACTTTGGGCCTATGGAATCACCACATCGTCGTCTCGGTGAGGTACGTATGACAAATTTGTCAAGGGTGTCCCGCAGTGCGTATAGCGTCGTGGGAGCAATGCCACACCCTGGCAAAGTACTCCGCATTCACTCGGGATTCAGAAATTGGTACTAGACATGTCTGAATAAGAGCACTGACTTGGTACATCAGTAGGTCAATTAAAATCATTGTGCAGCCAAAATACACAACCGATCAACAATAACTCTGGAATACTTCGTGAAGTTCAATGAAAGGTGCTTTGGTGAGGTACTGACCAATGTCGGACGCGTCATCTTTTATCCTTTTCAACCTCGTTAGCTGCCCGTTCGATCGCTGTGATCGAACTTAATAAAGGCATATAATTGTAAGAGTTCTCTGAAAGAAAATGAGGATGTATTGTTAATCCACTGTTCTTCTGTTGAAAGACGAGGTTGCTGCCATTTAGCTGCAAAAGCTGACGTTTCGGTCGTCTTCACCTTCTTCCGAGCCTGGTGAAATTAATATGTAATCTAATCAGCCGCACATCTTCATAACGTTAATAGAGAAACCACGAAGTCTAAATTTGAATCGTACTGGAGACAAAACAGTTTTTTCAAACGCTCACCGTTTTCTGTGAGCCTTTCACCTGAGTCTTAATCGTGCAAACTCACCGAATCATAAATGGGTAATTTACCTGTTTGTCTATACGTGAAGTGCTCAGTCCTGGACCAAAAGAAAACGGTGATTGTATGAAAACGCTGTTTTGTTTCCGATAAGGTTGGAAATTAAGCTTCATAGTTTTCCTGCTGAGGTCATAGAGGCATTTGACTGTTTAGATTGCCGTCAACTTGACCTTTCCATACCTTTAAGAAGGGAAAATCTATCGTTACGTCAACTTTTGTGGGTAATGATTTAGTTCGAGTACCAGCAGAGCGTTAGAAGTAGATTTGGTGGTGGGAGGCGTCGCTCAGATTCTGGTCTGTGATGACAAATATATTTGCCGTTTTCAGAACTGTACAGTAAACGTGAAATGGTCTCCTATTACGGAATTACGAAATGGTCATGTTCGGCTGCTACGAGCCGGCAGTGCTCGTAAATACGAATGCCGAGCGAGGTCAGTGACCATTTCAGAAAACAATTCCGACTATACGATTTCATGGAGATTTTTCCTCATAAGTGAGGGACGTTCAGAGCAAAGGCATCCTGTTACATTTTTTCTTATCTGTCCTTTCTTATAATTATTGCACTACTTCCGGCATTTTCGATGTTTTCTGTGTATGAATGCGTCGTTTTCTTGTTCAGCAATCGCGAGGTTTTTAAACAGCATATATTTACTTCCATAAAAACACAATACAATACAACGCTAGCTGACGTTTCGGCAGTATCGCCTTCTTCAGAGCCTGGAAGGGTATACTGATATACAATCTACTAGGCCAAACGCTTCAATAACACTTACAAAAAGACGAAAAACTCTTTGGTAATTACATGATCAACAACTTCTCGAAAAAAAACCCACGCTTTTTTCGTGACTTCCAATGAGGAAGTTTAGAACAACTGATTATAGTCGCATGTGGTTGACGACTGCACCATCCCACATCAAAAATCGATGGACCTGATCCCGTATGACCTCCGGGCATTTATCCCTGCTTTTCATTGTAGAGTTTTTGGCATTGATCCAAAAAGCCTCAAGAAGTTTTCGCGCTGGTGTTTTGGACTCCTGTGCAAGGATATTGACTTGTACTTCAAAATCGTCTCCACTATGCTTTTGTATCCTATGCGTGCCTAGTGGGGTGCTTCGTCTTAGTTTTCGTTTGCCATCTAGGTGTTCTTTTATACAGATACACAAAGGTTTGCCCGTTTCGCCAATATATTCTTCTCGGGAATTATTACAAGAGATCAGGTATATCGTACCTGAACTCATGCAATCACCGTCCCTGCCGTAAGGGCAAATTACGCGCTTTGTTGTTTCACACAGACGGTCATACAGGCGGTTACGAACAAATTGAGGACGTAGACTAGCCGGTGGTATTTCAACCATCGCTACCGATTCCTTCAGACCTGCCCTACTTAAGCATCGCTTTATCGCTACACTTGTTTCATTGCTAATAAAGGACAAAATAAACGGGATTTTGTTCCGTCCAAACCACCCGTTTTGGGGCGTCGCTCTCCTTCTAAACTTATCTTGTGGGGTTACTATTTCGTAGTTGGAGATGACTATTTGCCGAGGCAAGCCGTGCGATTCTTCCTTTAGTTCCCTGGTAGTGCACACAGAGGTGGCTGTTCGAAACATGTTTCTCACAATCGCTCTCTTTGTGTGTGAAGGGTGGGAAGAAAGGAAATGAACGAGAATGTTCTTGTTACCTGGCTTTCGATACCACTTTTCTGTGTAACCCATACATGATCACTTGATTTTTTAAACTGCGGTAACATAGACCATATATGTCGACGATTGAAGAATAATTTCTCGAAACTAACTTTTTTTTGTAAATTTTCCAGTGTATGATGCTGCTCGGCTTTGGGGGAGGGTAGCACAGTACTAGTAATGTCGGTTATCACGAGCATGCTGCTAGTTTGGTTCCGCTGCGGGCCAACCAAGCCTCTCATCCCTCCGAAGTTGGGAAATTGGTACAGGACTTATCCGGGAAAAAAATTATTCTCTGCGATCCAAATGGGAGCGCTGTAGCCCTGCTATCTCAGGACTCCAGAGGGAATTGACTCAACCATCATTCTACCACATTCAAGATGAAATGAAAATCGTCAAGCAGTAACCGAAGCCACACGTAAAAGCATGGAAGACCTTCGTAGATAAGGGATGCGAGGAAACGAATCGAATGTGAAAAGTGCTGGGATCCACTTGAAGGCGGATCATATGAAATAAAAATGAAAAGTAATAATGAGTTTTTACGTCCTTATATTTAGCTACTTGCAAAATATCTAAATAGCTAGGTGACGGATAGATGCGGTGTTCGTACAAGCTCTTTAGTACCCTTTTATACGCCGTGATATTTAAACAGTATTACGATGTGAATGAATAACGGGAAAAAAAGTAGTGGAGTAGTGCAAAAAATTATTGAGCGAAATTTTATGCAACAGTAGTGATCTATGGAGATGTGTAGAAGTTTAAAAGATTCACCTAGCCAGTAGCAATATTTATTGACCTTAATTCTATTGCTTAGTTTCAAACTCAAACTCTTATGATCTATTTGGAAAGCAGCTATTCAATATGTCTAATTGACTGACTTAGGTGTGTGAACTATCAGGATGAGGAGCATGTGACGTTCGAGGCTTGGCGAGATATCGAGGATCCTTCACCATTCTACTGCGATTTCGTTCAAACGGAATGCAGTTCCAGAAAAAGGACCATATCCTATGTGCATATGCAAATTGCTGAGTTAAGGTTAGTCTGAGAATTTGGCTATGTATTTATTTGTTCATTCATCATCCAGCAAGATCTTCATCTTTGCAACTCGATTCGGCTTCCCCTTTAGGATTTCATACTCTTTATTTGTTATTGAAATCAAGATAGCTCTAACAGAACTTTCCATCTTCTTGATGAAAGCTAGTTGTCTACCTTTATGGATAGGCGGGAGCTTTTTTCAAATCATTCTGGCAGCACTTTGCCGTTCCTGAATGGTTACGGAGATTTAGTTGGTATGAGTCGGCGTTGAATGAGCTACGACGTTTGCACTGTGTGGCATGTCTAGTAATTTTCCAAACTCCTAACTGAAAATATTCCGTTTTTAAAATTCTGAATTATGCCAAGTCCCGTAACCGATAGCACATTATAGAATCTGAACAAAACTGCAATGAGGTCTAGGAACACCCAGATTTTCACAGGCGCAACTCCAAAGATCTAGACGGGCCAGTCATTGATGTACTCTTGGAGTGTTCAACTTCGAATAAACCCCTCTTCACAAAAGAGTTTTTATCAAGTGATCTACGCCACTTGATCTAAAGTGAAGTAATAATGTTCTTGTGCGGTAAGGCAATGACTGTGACATGAATTTCATGATTGAACATTCGAAGATGACGTTAAAACATCTTTAGTTTTTTCTTTCATTTGTGTGCGGCATGTATTTCACATCTATTGTTCAGATTCTAGCATTTCTCATACTCGATTCGTTTTCTCGCATCCATCAAAGGTCTTCCGACTTTTACTTGTGGCTTCGGCCACTGCTTGAGGATTTTCGTTTCACCTTGAATGCCGTAGAATGCTGGTGCAGTCGATTCTCTTTGGAGTCCTTAGATAGCCGGGCCAGAGTGTTCTCTCTTAGATTACAGAAAGTGGAATTTTTCCCAAACAAATGCGGTACCAATTTCTAGACATCGGAGGGTGAGAGGGTTAATGAGCCCAGTGTGGGATCGAACCTGCACTGTGGTCGTGATGTTCGGCATCGCTACCACGTGATATCCGCGCCTGGTTAGCTTCAACCCTTGTCTTTAGTAATTTTATGTAAAACTAAGGGACATCTGTGAGAAATAAGGCTAATAAGTACTAGATTCTGCTTAGAAAATGTTTAGAACAGAGGAAATTGCTTCGTAAGTATAGGAAAAATCTATCGTATGACCAGTTTTTCGACGATTATCGTGAAATTTTTTCTTTACATGGCCCATCATCACTTCTACTGTGAGGGCTCCAACATGTGCATTCAATTCGTTTTCCTTGCAATAATCGTCTACGAAGGTCTTTGAAAACTTCGCATGTTATTTCCGCGCTACTTGAGGACTTCCTCATCTTTTTTATGAATGTCGTAGGACGGTGGTCGAGTAGATTCTCCTTGGAATTGTGGAGACAGCCTGGCTGAAGTGACCCCACGTGGATTGGAGAGCGTCGTTGAGGGGATGGAACTAACTTCTTAGTCTCTTGATGGACAGCTTCACTAACCGCTGCGCTACGCCATACCACGTCTTAGAAATAAGTGTATAAAATGTGTTAATATCCTCTTTTGGTTTTTCTGTTTTCTGGAAACAATGAAATTAATAGAGAGTAGTGAGCTATTTCAGTACGAAGTCCATACATGCGAACATTCATCCGCATGTGCACATCATTCTCTTGGATTCGGTAGCATCATCACAAGCCATAAGGTACGGTTGATCCAATTCCTCTTTTTTTTAAACTGTTGAATTCATTAGTAGAAAGCAGAAGTTCGTTCCTGGACGAAATCATCCATAAAGTTTGTCTTAGTCGAATTGTGAAGCTCCATTGAGTCACTATTTAGATATCTCGTGGGATAGATGTATTTATGGTGAAGGGCACTTTTCAGGCCATGTAATTTCAATTTAACCCATTAGAGATGAGATAAAACTCCTTTGATACACATTCATTTTAGTTGTTCACTGTGAATCATTGGAAATCTCTCTGTTCAAATGACAATATTCTACAATGATTCTGAGTTATGCGCAAAACTATGGACCGCAGTTGTCTGTGGTGGGGATCGAACCAGATACTACCGTTTCCGGGCGTAGCGTATTCACATTTGCCACCACAACGTGCTTCACCATTAGCTCCCCGAAACGACAATAGCGGGTTCGATCTTCACCGCTGACACCTGCAGCCTGGAGTCTTGCAAATATCTTAGCATTATTGTAGTTTTATTTCACATCATACCCTGCCATGAAGCTGAGGAGTCCAGCTATTCCATTAGAAAGCCCAGCTAGGAGTGAACCAATACCAGGATCCGTCACCATCCTGGTATTAAAGTCTCATGGTGGCAAACTCCCTTCTGACCCACAAGGGCTATGACTGCTTGTGGTGGTGACTACTTGGATGGACTTTGACTTGGTTGACCTTGGGAACTTTAGGAAACCACAATGGCTATGCCAGCAAAACTCCAAAAAAATGAAGATTATGCTGGGGCTTGCACAACTAATGAGAATGGGCCATTCAAGTACCCAAGTAAGCAGCATATATTAAAAAACAAAGTGATTAATATTATAGAAAAGTGAGATCATGTGGTTGAGATTGGGAGACAGGCTATTAAATGGAGAAGCACTTTAAGTGTCCCGGTCTCCCGTTTTCAGTGTGTTATGAAGCTGTTTTAATTTGACAGGAATTCATTCCGTCCTTTGATCATTAAACTCATACGAAACGTTGTTCACCTCTTGTGGTCATACATCAATGAATATGGATTTTGCATTTTCCATTAGATCTTCAGTCCATCGTTCTGACCACAGAAGCATCAGTTAGTTATTTGCTTACCAAATTTTATTCCACGTGATTCATCGCTTTGTTTTGTAAAGCAGAAGGTAAACTCTTTTATATATTCATTGTATTAAGTTTATTAACAATAACTTATTTTGTCCCACAAATTACGTTTTATGCCTAATTTTCTTCATTTTTCTAATAGTTTTATAATTTGTTGGTTTATAGGAAATAACTTTCAAAAAAGCTTGAGCGACAAGAGGGAAAAATGTATTATTTTAGAGCCCTACCAAGGACCATTAACTTTCTTACCAACGCTATGGAAGCAGTTCAGTTCAGAAAATTAAATAAGGTTGGAGCGAATAGTCGACCGAACGGTTTTGTGATGCTCTTTGGTATGTTGTTATTTACAAGTATATCTATTAGCGCTTTTCTCATGGTTATCTTTAATCACGCTTTTTTGCTGTTTTTGTGGTTACGTGAGGTATTTCTGTAAGTGGTTTAGGATGAGCCGGCGTCTGTTTAACCGATGTTAGTAAATGAATAAGCAAAAGAATGAATGAATTAATTAGTCGATGAACGAGCGGATGAATGAATGAATGAATGAATGAACGAAACGAAACGAATGACTTGATGTAGATTACCAGTGCAAGTTTTGTAGTGCAGAAGCGGCATCTTGTTAGAAGCGGCTGAAAATATGTAATTTTCTTTATAATAATTCGCTTCAGATTCAATGGAGATTAATTCACTTAAAGCTTTTGTTGTGCACTCCAGGGAAGACAACCGAACCAGTGATGCGTGAAATTATCGACATGGAGCCAATTCCTGCCGACTGGACATATTCGACCTATTGTAAACAGTTCCTTGATGAGTCGATCTATATTCCTATTCAGTATAGAAATGCCGGATACAAGGTATTTTGTGAAAGGTTTTATTTCTTTCTTCTTTTCGACTCCACACTTTAACTTAATTTTTTCTTCATTCATTATTGTTCTCGTTGGATTCGCTGGCCTACTTAACTCTTTGCAAAGTCGCAATTTTAATAATGTCATAAATTCCCCTAGATTCATTTTGAAACCTACCGTCATTTAACCTCGGAATTAGTAATCAATACTTCCATTAATTATTATGCTAAACCAATGTTAAGAAAAGGTTTATTCGGCTAACGTTTCGACGTTTTCATCTTTCCCAGTGCCGATGATCCGAGTCAATGTTCATAGTTCCACGTACTCTCGATGCGGAGTGTTTCTCGTATCGAATCGGGATCTTCTTTAGTGGAGCACCGCTTGAATGAAGCAATCTATCCCGTCAGCGCTCTTTTATGCAGGACGGCTGTTGTTGATGATGATTGTCCGTTGACAGTGATTTGTTCTTTAACATTAACGTTCAGTCGCTATTATTAATATATCTCCTCAGATACGTGATGGTTCATATTTATTTTGTTCTGGTTATATCATCCCACCATCATTTTTCCAATAAAATTTGTTCTCTTGTAACCGTCACCCTCCTTGAAGGTTATTGGGTTCGGTTGGGCTCTTCCACGCTTCAGGTATTGCTATCCTTTTTTCTCCTTACATTTTGAACAGCTGCTGAGTACAGTTGCTTTTGAATTTTCTAAATAACTACGCTAGAGCATTCCCAGATCTTCGATATGCTCCTGGATCGTTAGAAGACTCAGTACTAAAGCGTTTCTATGTTTCGTGCACAGTTCTTGATCGGTGGCAGGTTTTCTCCCTGCTCGGACTTGGTTTTTTTCATAGTTCCGGTTAAGAAAGTAAAAGTAGGAGAATACTGCAGGAAACGTATCTGGAGGTCGACAATGACGTGTGTTTTGGAAAACTCTATAACCACTTGCCAGAAAACGTTTTTGGTTAACATGAACATCTTATGTGAACAAATTTCATTTCTGTTTCTTATTTGTTTAGCTGCTTGAGGTATTTACCACTGATCGATTTGATCAAAACCCATAGAGAAGACGAATTTAGCTTCATAGTAAACTGCTACGCCAGCTTCTAGTACACTATTTCGAAATTTATGAAGAAAAATGTGATCTCAAAGTGAGGAAGGACAGCTAGACGATGAGATTAATTGCCGTCCATTACTTTCCTAACGATTAATGCTGATTTCTTTTGACAAGTCATAAGGTCGTCAATGCTGGCAGTTTCGATAGCTCTTCGAGTTTCATTATGAAATCGCAGTTCACAGCATCATCGGACTCTTTACATTGAGTTATTATTTCGTTGGAATACAGTAAAAGAAGTTGAGGAACGAAGGAAGATGCTAAGCCTATGATTCCAGCGGTTTTATAGAATTTCTGATCTCAGGCTGCAGCTTTTAGTGGTAGACTTGAGAAATCTTCTCAATGGAGCGATTTTCTATGGCAATAACGAAAAAGGAAGCTTAGCTATTGCTCACTGAATCATCTCAATCAAAGGAACGTTAAAGTACTAAGCAGCCCTTTTTTATGTACTCTATTTCGTCGATGATTTTTGGTCACATATTACCATGTTACCTTCGATGCTAGACAAAATGATATTTTCTTGTATCTCTTTTTTCTTTTATTTTTTCGTTTTTGCTTATCTTTTCTTATCGTAGACGTTCGGTGCGCAAGACTATGAGGCTAGCTTGTTGAATTTTCCGAACTGTTTGGGTTTAAAGGAACAAGAATTTCAGCACACATATAGGTAAGTGTTGTTGTTTATAGGCTACTAAGAATGAACATGTTATTATTACCATGGAATAGGAACTTTCTTCTAATACTTTTCCCGTTTTATTATCTGGATTTTTCTTTCTATTTTAATCGAAGGAAAGGAAGAATGTTCTTGATCATCATCTACACATCGGTTTGCTGTTGTCCAACTTTGTGAGAAATCCTCCCTGTTTTGCTGATTAATCGGTCTATATCGATCGGTTTCACTGATATTTCATATAGGCCATTCGATTTATTGGTGTCGATGGATCGAAAACTAAAGATCGCTCATGAGAATGCATCCTGTTCGAAATCGCACAATAATATGCTCAAGTATTTGGAAACGTTCCTAAATTCTTATAAAGGTTAGCGCTAGATTTAGTTGTTTTTCCTTTTGTTTCTTTGATTACTACGTTCACCTACTATCATCATAGCATTGGGCAACAGTGTTTAATGTCTGTGGACTATTTCTTTTTCTTTTTCGAATGAATTCATATAAATATCTCACATTTTGTGTAAAGGATAAAGCTCTCGGCGTTGATCAATTCCTGAAAGGTGCGCCATTCATTCGACTTCAGTAAGCATCGTTTGGAGGTGAATGAATGCGTATCTGGCCTTTACAATCACTGACGATGGCCTACCGATGTGTGTGTTGCACAGCGCCTCCGACCAGTACGCTACAGGCGCGTATAGCGCAGATCTTGTACAGTAACCAAACTAAAATAATCTGAATACAAGTAAAAATAGATGGAAATTCAGAAATTGCAATTACTTCATGTAAATCACTTAAGTGTTGGTGGTCTGATTGATCAGCATATTTACGAAATGTAAACATAGTGAATAATGAAAATTAACAGAGATGAATAAATAGGTATTTGATCAATAGAGATTTTCTTTTGAGTGCACTTGTTTTTTCCAGAAGTTAAGTGACTTTTTTTATTCTTTTTTTTCTTAAAAGGGAATCGTAACACAGATTCGTCAAAATTCTCGCTGTCATGGGTGACAAAGTTAGCTCACGACGATTCTGGTCGGCTGTACAAAGCGGACTTTGATTTGTATAACTTCTTCCTGAGAAATCGACATGAGGTCAGTAGTTTTCTTTAGAAAGAAAGCAATTCTTCAACATTTGACTGCTCTTATAGTGTATATACTTCAATGGTTTGCTACATATTCTTTTTATTTTCCGAACTGGCCGTCATTTCACTTCGGCACTGATGATCAATACTCTCCTTGGATTTTTAAGCTAACCCGAGGTTGATAAACTCAGCCTATCTGCTCTGAGGAAGGCGAGGTTGTCGAAACGTTAGCCAAGTAAACCTTTTTATCAAGCTCGTGTTAGGTTAAGAATCCAGCAAGGTATATAATTTTTAGTTCCTTCATTTTGATATCTGTAATCTTTGCATTGATTTACTTCAAAGATTTATCTTTGTTACAATAGAGTCGTCCTTGTTTCACACATTCTGTTCGTTATTTTCAGTTAGAAAACTCTTTCGTGTTCTTCTTGGGTGATCACGGACCCCGTTTTGGAAAAGTAAGCTGAATAAATTTTTCTTCATGCTTAGTACTTATTTGAATCTTAATTGTTCATAATTTTTCTGTCGTTACTTCAATCTTAATTATTCATAATTGTTTTGTAAGTTACTTCCACTATTACTTATTTAGGAGACAAAAACGCCTTTTGGTAGGAATGAAGCCAACAATCCTTTTCTGTATGTTATTGTACCCAAATCACTACGTAATTCGGATGTGTTCAAAGTTTTAAAGGCGAAACAACAAGAGCTTATCACTCCTCATGACATCCATGCAACTCTGAAGGATATTCTCGAGGTGAGACTAGATTTTCTTTATGCCTTTATAACTGGAAATTTCTATGGTTCATATCCATAATTCGACAAAAGTAAATTTCCATTTCCTTCATTTCCTCGCCACACCGCGGTCTGCGGTCTTCCTGGAGGATGATGACTTCTACGAGTTTTGTTTTCTATTTTGTAACTCATTTGCATCTCAAAGACTGATGCTTTAGGTGGGCGGCAAATAGGACGCTTATTCTTTTTGTAGATGATCTTCAGCTGAAAACTAGCCTCGAGAGTACGGAGATTAAAACTCGCATTTCTCAATCTTTTTTTCGACAGCCATTCGGACATACTTCAACGAATATACAAAGAAAATGTGAATGTACCCTTAGAAGAATGTCCAAGACCTTTAGCAGTTCTAGAATTCTTTAGTGAAAATCAAGGGTTCGAAGAGCACCTGAGGTCCTTCGTTTTGCTCATATTTCGAAATCCTTGTGGCTGTATCCCATAGAATACCCTGCTATGAAAAAAATAATAAGTAGTAATAATCACAATCTTAACTCTTCTATTTACTGCCTTTTTCTTCTTAATGGCAGGTTATGTTGCGAAATATAACTCGTTTGAAATGCTGAAATATTTGCAAAACTCCGGACCACAGGTGTATGCAGTGGAGAACGAACACGCGCTGTTGTCCTTACCGGGGAGCAGCGCACTTCACCACTACACCATCCGGATCCTTCGCTTTGCGTGTATCTCAGCTACTTCTATCGATCTTTTTTTTTATTATATTTCGCAACATAACCCGCCATTAAGAAGAAAAAGGCAGTAAATAAAAGAGTTAAGATTGTGATTATAACTAAGCCTCAGCTTAACTGGGTTCAATGCCGATATTGGCTCCCCAGATCAACCCCGTTGACGGGTGATTGCTGATGGCAAAAAAGATCGATAGAAGTAGCTGAGATACACGCAAAGCGAAGGACCCGGATGGTGTAGTGGTGAAGTGCGCTGCTCCCCGGTAAGGACAACAGCGCGTGTTCGTTCTCCACTGCATACACCTGTGGTCCGGAGTTTTGCAAATATCTCAGCATTTCATGCGAATAAGTAGTAAATAAAAAATTTATACATTATGAATCCTACAAACATTTTTTCAATCTATTAAAACGAACACTCTATCAAATTAACCAGGATTCTATTCTATTAAATCAATGTTTGTCTTGTTTTGCATTATTTATCTATATTATTGCATCTGTATTATTTTAGGAGCAACCATTTTCGAATTTCAACGACACCACATTTAAGTCTTTTTTGCCGTCAAGCCGTGGTTCATCACTGTTGCGCGAATTTGAGAAAGGTGTACAGCGAAACTGCAAAACGCTTCCGATACCGTTTCAGTATTGCATTTGCCAATACGCCAAAATACCGCTGGAGTAAGTGATTTCTGTTACTAGTATGTATGTAGTTCTATAGAAGAAAAAAGCCACTACTTTTGAGGAAACAGCAAAAAAATTTCTTCAGCAGTGTTTTTAACCTATAAGTGATATTAGCAATCACCCATCAACGGGGTTGATCTGGGGAGCACAAATCGGCACTGAACATACTTAAGCTGAGGCCGTGTAGTATAAAACACGGCTAAGAGGAAGGCAAAACGAAGGAACTGCATAGTGTGGTCGTGAGTCCGTTAGTCCCAGGAAAGGTAGTGGCGTGTTCGATCCCCACCGCAGACACCTGCAATCCGGAGTTTTTTGAATATCTCAGCATTATTGTGTTTATGATTCACATCATACGTTGGCATGAAAAATAATAGTTAGTAGAGGAAAAGTCATTACACAGGAATTCTCTTCTGCTTTGTTATCGAAAGAAACGCCTTTCACCTGAGAGGCCGTGAAGGTGAAATTGGTTTCCAGCAAGAATAGTGATAGGTAAGACCGCAGAAGTTACAAAAAATGATAACGGAAATAACTTAAAACTAAGTAGAAGCTCTGAGCGCTATCTTGGAGTACCATGAATATTATGGAAGCACGTAGAGCAGTAGTTAGAGGCGTCCCACAATTCAAACATAGGCTTTAGTTCGACTCTTCTCTTCGACCCAACCAAGGCTAACCAAGTTTTCCATTCATCTAGAATCAGAAAATTGTACCCAACTTTTTTGGAAGAAGAGAACTGTTGAAGTAATGGAATTGGTTTCCACAACTCATTCTATAGGCCAATCGTGCAGGTGACGTCCCCTATGATGCTTAGTAGAGTACGCAAAGTATTCCTTAGTTAACTATCAACACACTACACGGTTAGCAATAGTTGCGGTTTCCCGCGACCCACATTCTTTTAGTCTGCATTAATCAGTAATACACTGTTTTTCCTTAATAGCAAGCACGAGGTTGTTATTACGGCATCCACTAATACACTGTCCTCCCAACGGTTTACCTCCTCATTGTGGCTGGGAGGTGTTCCTGGATGTTTGGCTGCGATGTACAGCTGGGGGATTCATCGCCCCTTCAGAGTCTCCCAAGCTGAGGAGGAGTCCGGCGTTTCTATGAGGAAACCCAGCTAAGAGTAAACGAATATCGGGATTCACCAACGTACTGGTACCAGACAAGTCGAATGCTGGTAAATCCACCGTCTGATCCACATGGGCGGCGACTGCCTGTGGTGGTGACGACCTGGTGAAGACTTGGTCTGACTGTTCTCAGGACTCCAGGGAACCACGATGCTTAAACCACCAAAACTCTAAAGCAGTGAAAATTATGCTGGTGCCAGCACAACTAGCGAAGATGTGCCATGCAAGTGCCCAAGTATTAATACGGAATGGCTGACCTTTCGGCCGTTTCGCCTTCTTCGGAGCATGGGAAGGTCAAGTTGGCTTGCAATACACTCTGTCAAACACTTTCATATTTGCAGTCGAAAAGACTTATGATAGAAGTTTTTCATTCGTGTAATAAGCAGCTTAATTCTTCTAGTTATTTGGTGGAAACCAGTCGCACAGAGTCTCAAATGGGCAAGGAACATTCCTGGCTCAGGTAAGAGAATCAGCCGGACGTATGGCGCTAAGGCAAGCGTGCAAAAGTGCTTAAAGAGTTTTACGCGCCGATGTTTTGATTTCTATGTGAGGATAGTGCCTTTACTTCAAAATGCTCTCCGTTATGTTTCCGTGTCTTATAGAGACAAAACGGAGAAAGCTGAGTAGATTGTATGTCAGTTTGACCTTGCTACGCTCTAAAGAAAGGGAAGCCGTCGAAGCGTCAGTTGTTGTGTATTAATAAAGACTTTAATTACAATCTTGTGTTTTATCGTTAAAAAAAACAGCAGTGATATTATTCATCACGAGCAGAATGTTGATTCGACCCGGTCCCAGTCCACCAAGCCCGAGTTGATCGGGAAATTGGTAGTAGACTTATCTATGATCAGCTTCCTCCCTGTAATCTGAGTGGTGACGCTCGAATCCGTCTATCCAAGCATTCCAGGAAGAATCAACTCAACCAACATTTAACGACATTCGTATTAGTTCATTGCTTACCATAAATATTATCTTCTGTTTTGAATGACTCTCAGTGATTGTTTAAGCTAATAAACGATCATAGTGGTTTCAGTGACGACGGGTTAGCGATAAAACTTGGTCAGTTCGCCGTTGATGGCATCAACGCTATCATTAAGCAAAACAACGAATCCGAGAACTGTTCACATCTTATTCTCCATCAGGTAAACAAGCAAGTATTAACTGCCTTGTAAGCTTTTATTTTAATAGCTAGAAGCTTTTCAGGACTCTGTTATTACGGTGGAAACAAATTGAGCGATTATAGTGTAATCTTTATTAATAACAAGTAATAACAAGTAGTACCAAGTAATAGTTATCCTTATTATTTGTGAATGCTGCTGAAAAATTCTATCCACCTAGACTTATCCATGTTTTTCTCTTTTCCTCTATATTTCGTGGTTTATTCAAAAGATACTGCGACATCTTAACAAATCTCCATCTGGATCATATTCCACGTGATTCATCGAGCTTTATCGATTTATTGATTTTCGATGAGTTTCCTGGCTGATTATTCTTCTCAGAGATCAAGCAAGTTTAATTAGTTGGTGAGAAATCATGCTTTGGCTAGATTCTAGATTGGCTTCAAGTGAGGTAAAAGAATGATTGTAAACGTTACGATATCGGGAAAGTATTTTTTTTACTTACTTGGATACTTGGATAATTGGACGGCCCGTCCTCATTAGTTCTGCGGGACCCAGAATAATCTCCATTGTTTTGGAGACTTGATCGTTAAGCCATTGTGGTTTTCTGGAATCTCGAGGTCAGCCTGGTCAAAATTTACCCCAACTCGTCACCACCACAGGCAGTCGCAGTCCTTGTGGATCAGAGGGAGATTTGTCACCATACGGCCATTATGATACCAGGACGGTGGTCGATCCTGGTGTTGGTTTACTCCTATCTAGGCTTTCTAATGGAATAGCTGGACTCCTCAGCTTGGAAAACCCTGCCGGGGGAATGAATTCTCCCGCTGTACATCACAACCAGGCACCCAGTATCACCTCCCAGCCACGATGAGGCGGTAAACCGTTGCAAGGATTTTCAAGGAGGGAAGCCATTTTTTCTAACAAATAAGCATAAGTTTCATATTTCTTTTCATTTTAATTGGAAAAACAAGACAACTTCACATATTTTCAATAATAGGGAAAATATTAGGTAAACAACAGTTACTTGCTTATTGCGCTTTATCCAAAGAGAGCACATGGAGACTTGCCATTTCAGGGATATGGGATCTCTTTCTTAAACAAAAATTCAATCATTCTTATTTTCCAGAACCTTAAGACTACATTCTATGTTTTCGAACTTATGTGCAGTTCGGGAAGCTAAAATGCTGTAAATAAGTAACTAGCGGAGTGATTAATGATGCAGTCTAGATCTCTCCAACACTCTCCTCCAATCGACGTGGGTTCTTCAGGATTGCAAGGAGAGTCGACTTGACCAGCATTCTACGATATTCATGAAGAAGACGAAATCGTCAAGAACCAGACGATACAAAACGAGAAATGTTAGGTCTTTCTGAACGATGAAGGCGATGAAAAACCAATCAAATGAACGAAGTGCTGGAATCCGCACAGTAGATGTAAGAGACGTGTTACGTAGTAGTAATTTTAACAACAATAGCGACAACGACAACAACAACAACAACAATAATGAAATCCTTTAAAACACTGAATTATGAAAATCTAACCCAAACTGTAATCATTTGAACAGAAATTTCTGAACTTCTTATGAAGAGAATTTTTTTATTTCATTTGATCCGTCTTCACGTCTACTGCGCGGACTTCACCACTTCTCACATTCAATTCGTTTCCTCGTATCCATCGCCCACAAAGGTCTTCCAACTTTACGTGTGGCTTCGGTTGCTGCTTGATGATTTTAACTCCATCTCGATTGTCGTAGAATGCTTGTCGAGCAGTTCTTCCTGTAGTCCTGAGAAAGCCAGTCTGGAGCGTTCTCAATTGGATTGCAGAGCGCGTTTTTTTGTTGAAGAAAAGCACTCTATGGAGAAAATCAGCACGAAAAATTTTCTTTATCAGGTACACTCCGCGGTTCTATATGTTCTACCGGAAACACAGATGAAAACAACGGCGATTTATGATGTGATCTTCCAATCCTCTCCATCGGCCGGCATTTTTCAAGTATGTCTTATAAGATTTGCTTGGAATACAAATAGTAAGGTAAATTTTGATCTTTCACAAATATCTTTATTATATTTGTTTATGTGATCTTATAAACTGATCTTCTTAAGCTGACGCGAGGTTGGTACAGATCTTCGTTGTCGTTGTCGTTGTCGTTGTTTTTGATGTTATTGATCGATGGCTGATGTTTCGGCGAATTCGCCTTCCTCAGAGCCTGGACGTATTTTATGTTAGAATACTTTTTATTATTTGGTGGAAAAGAAGGTTAAAGTGTTAATGAAGATCAAACTTTCAAATAGACGCCATATTGAACAGAAAGGCCACTCACCGTGATGTTACGTGCGGGACTGGCCCACAGGTAGTTCACGTGGAGTCGCGAGCAAGACATGCCCCGGGGTCAAAATATCGTTTTGAAATAGGGCACCAGGTCACGCGTGATAGGATGTTCGATAGAGAGAAACATCACTGAGGTGCTCCTCTGTTGTCCTAATATCCAACTGACTAGGAAGAACTAGAAATCCCCCGCCTTTATCACTAATAGAAAGTCTAACAGATTTTGAATTCAAAAGCTCTCTAACCTGGCGCATACCACATTTTTGTTGGGTTGTGAGGTTGGAGCTTCTTTTTCGTTTTTGGTAGTGATTAAGTATGCGGAGAATTTCGTCCGAAAAAAACGAAATG